GCAGCGATGAGTTTTTTTTTTTTTTTCAACTATGGGTTTTACGCAAGAGAGAGGAGATCAATTTTCAAGCAAGAGAACGAAAAGTAATAAGGTGATATTTTGTTTTAGAGAAGCAATAAGCGAGAGACATTGAGTACCTATTTTGTTTCAGTAATTAGTGGAAATAGTAAAATTATAGCGAGAACCTATAGTTCAAAAATTTTAAAGCGTAGCTCAAATGAAAGATAGAAGCCACAACCTACAATTGTGGTATATTAATAGTGTAAATGTAGCTGATTTACTCTAAATAAGTCACGTTTAAGACGTGTGGTCTTTTCAATCTATGGCCACATTTTACAGGTGTGACAATAAAAGCATGGCCAAAAGTTATGCCTTAGTCCACTCCACTAAAAACGTGGTCTTTGATAGTTATAGGTCACGTTTTCTAAGCGTGAACTAAAATAGTGTAGCCGAAGACCATATTTGTTGTAGTGAAAAGTGATTAGGACTGAAACTTTTTCTATTTTCCTCTCTTATACTGAAAGTTATCCTATCTACTTTATACTTAAGCACAAAATATTGAGTTCTCTAACTTAAAATCAACTCCAATGCTTAGGACAAAGACTCCCTATGAAATTAATCAAAATTTTCTAATATTTAGGTGAGCTAAATTAAAATATGCATTATAGTTCAAGAACTCAAAAGACTTGACAATCATTGAGTAAATGTTTCAACATCATAACAATTGTATCAAATCATTCAGTTTAGACTTAAAACCAATCTTTCAATTGCAAAATTAAGTCTAGGATCATCTTATAGTTGGTTAAACTAGAGGAAGCATTATAATCTAAGAACAACTCAATCAATTGCAAAAGAAAAATTAAATAAAAATGATATTTTATTAATAATATAGGAGATTTAAATAAAAATTCTTTCTTTTCTAATCTAAAATAAATTAGCTACAGATAAAACAAAATAGAACTGAGATAAAGAATTAATAAAGTTAAATAGAGATTTGGAGAGACACAAAGAAGTCTTCCAAATGCCTAAGAAATGAGAGAAAAGGAAAAGAGAAAAATTCCTAAGCTCAATATCAAATTATAATTTAAAAAATATTACTATATATATAAAAAATAACTCTTATGATATCTATCTATAGAGTTTAGAGTCATTATAGACATAAAGACACTTGAACATGAAGATGTCTAGTGTTGGAATGCTCCTGGGTGTTGAAATACACACATGAAAATGTTAGCTCAAACATCGGGCATTAGAACACTTAGATGTTTATTGCACTTCAGTCTTTTCACTATTGGGCTTCATGTTCTTTAGTTGATGTTGGGTGGTGAAACACACCCATTATGTTGGAATGCTTAGATGTTGGCTAAAGTTTAGCCTTTTTGCTATTGAGCATTGGGATGTTTAGAGTTCAAAGGCTTCATGTTCTCAAACTGATATTGGGTGATGAAACACTTAATTTTAAGTGTTAAAACACTAAAAGTAAAATTTGTAACTTTTAGATTTTGTGTTTCTTGACTTCTTTAAGCATAAATTTCATTTCAATTTATTCTATAAATAATGTAAATACATAAATTAGTACCATTGTCCTAAAAGTTTGATTAAAAACCTTAAATATTCAATAGTTTAGGCAAAAATTATAAACATTGATTATTTACAAATTTAGTTAATAAATCAAGTAAATTAAGGTTAGATAGCCTCTAAAAAGTGTTAAAATACTCTTTCAGTTCTTTTTATAAGAAACAAAATAAAGTATTTTCTTGATTCTAATTATAAGAAATATATGATAGATTTTATATGTATTAACTTTTATACTTTTATTTTATCAGTGTCATTGAATATGCAAGTCACCAACTATACTATTTAATACCATGAATACTTCTGGAATAAAATTTATATTTATAAAAAACATAACTGATTTAATATTTTGTTTCTTATAAAAAAGACCAAAAAGAATATATGATAAATAATAGCTTAATTGTGACTTTTTTTATTATTAATATTCATATGGCTATAATAAATTATAAAGGTCTTTTCTTTAAAAAATAAATGAAATCCTTCAAACTTTAGGAGTTTTTGTAACAAAAATATACCAAATAAGGTCCAATAAATTTTAGAGAAAAAGATCTAGATTTTAAAAAGTATTGGACTAGTAGAGCAAATTGACATGAGTCTCTCTCTCTCTAGCATGACCTATTTCAAAAAAAAAAAATTGCTAAATTTGTATTAAAATTAAAAATTAAACTTACAATCTTAGACTTTTATCTTTCAACTTTATTTAATTTAAATATTTTTTCATTTATTTAAATAAAATAATAATAATTATAAATAAATAATAAATTATGAATTGTCAAAATCTGATGATTAATTCTCTTTCTATTTATTATTTGTTTTTGAATATTTTAGAATTAAGTTAAAAGAAAACATAAAAACATATAAAGGTGAACCCATAAGCTTTAAGTTCTCTTTCAATTACTAATTAAAAGTGTGTCTCTTTACTATTTTTAATTAGTTCATTTACTTTCCAATGCATCTCTTAAATTCAAACAATTAAATCAATACTTTCTCAGTATTTGGAAGCAATCTTTGTGGGACGATAATTTAGAAACTTAATTTAAAAATTCTTTATTACTTCTCGATGAGTACACTTGACCACAAACAACAATAAAACCTAATTTATACATGCTAATTAGGTTATTAACTAATCAAGAAAAAGTTTGTAACCTACATGTCTACTATTTCATAACATAAAATTCATTGATTAAGAATAATTTTAAAAATTGCACTTTCAGAGTGCCTTAATCCATTATCAACATTATTAGATATCAAATCTTCAATATTCTTATTTAATAAGTTAGGATATTTAGCAACACCCATATATTCTTCTAAATAGGTGGTCTATCTTTAAAGGATCTCTTTATAAATTTAGAGACCAATCTTAAATTGGTTGAATTCTTAAAATTTCTTCCATTGGACTTCCATCTTTATATTTTGTTTAGATTTCTTAATGAATGATATTCATTAACATTAGAATCTCCTTATTCTTTTCATTTTTCTCATCTTTTAAGTTTAGATCCTCATCCATAATTTCAATCATATGTTTAGTCCTATTCTCTTAATTTTTAATAAATTTTCTTTGATTCATCTTCTCTTTTTGGTACTATTTACTAAATACATGTTGTTTATTAAGATTTGGCTTTCCAGCCAATTGAATTGAATTAGTCACTTTATCATTCTTATTAGAAAGTTCTTTTGGATATTTGATTTTATTATTTTTAGATTTAGGTTATGTTTCAGTAGAGTCTTAACTCAAAATCTCAAATCTAGACCTTGATACTAACTCTTTATTTATCTGGTTATTTAGAATTTTCATGACCTCTATTATGAGTTAATTTTCTTCTTTGAAGTCATTTTAGTAGCATCTAGGAGCCAAAAGCCTTTTGTTCATTTACATTTAGCCTATTTGATATATTATGATCATTAGCCATTATTAAACTATCTTTCATGTTATCTTTATCTTCATTCCTTAAATTTTTCTTCTGATTTTTTAGAGAATTAGACCTATTAATACTGTGCTCATCACCTATCTTTTTAGAACATTTCTTTTTTCTATGATCATATTTAACATAACAAAAATAAATAAGGTGAAGATCCTCATATTTAATTTTAAAATCTTGACCCAACAACTTAAAGAAGGAACTAATCTTCTTAAATTTAATTCTACACACCTAGCAAAATCTTCTTAAACTTAATTCTATACAAATCCTAACAATTTTACCTTTTGCTAGAACAATAGTATTATTATCAAACTTGAACATATACTTAAACAAAATCTAACTTTTCAAAGAAATTTATTATTATATAACTATAAAGAAAGATTTAGGAGCTCTAACCCAAATTGTAACCTTTTTAAAAGAATGGTCATTAAGTTGTACTAACAAGTAGTGATCTAAAACTAACCAAGATCCCTCAAACAAACATTCTTATAATTTTCTATATGATTAAATTTGAATAAATAAAATCTTTCATTCATATCTAAGATCTTATATTCCCCATTCTTACCCCAAATATGTTTTAATTTGTTATCCAAATATTTTAAACTAATATTTTTCCTTTAAAATTTCACTCTTCAAGTATTCTTTCAAGGAATACACCAATTCTTAATCTTTTAAAGAAACCATAATTTTAGGACAAATATTTGTGTCATTTAAATCAAGAAAGTTCTCATCTTTATCAATATTAAAATTAAACTCTTTTAAAATAGAATTAATAATTTCATTGTTATCTAACACAATATTATAACATTCAGGCTTTAGAATTTTGTTTTTATACTAAAAAAATAAAAGAATAAAAGGATCATAAAACACGATCTTTCCCATTTTAAATCATCATACCCTAATTCAATACCCTTTAAAGGAATTTCATTTAGTAAGACTTTTCTTTACTTGACTTGAACTATCAACATCTCTTTCATAACATCTTCTATCTTCTTTGCTTTCATAATAATTTTTCTTGTTGAGTCATTTTTTTTTCAACAAGTTTGAACTAGTTGCTATCATCTTCGTTTAACCCTTACCTTTTATCATAGTGAACCTGATTTTCTAATTTTTTTTATTTATAATATCTTAGATATGTAACATGCTTTCCGATTTTTAAAACTCAAGCAGACTTCGATAGGAGAGAAAAAAATTTCTCTGAAGTCAAATGCAAAATAGGATTTTTGTTAAAATAAAAATAATATTGATAAATTAATTTTAAACTGTTACATATTTTTAAAGGGTGTATATAAAATAATCTGAATCATACGTTGAATCAAATATATATTTTAGGTTAAAAGGTAAAAGAAAAAATATTCTCTAATTAACGCGGAGAGTGGAGCCCACAAACCGAGAGGGGCGAGCATGTAATTGAGGGGTGGAGGCAGGGGCGTTTGCGTCATTCCGGGGATCCCCTGGCTCTCCGTAAGTGTCTCGGTTGTCACACGTAAAAGCATACATATATACGATTTCACAGCTTCACCATTTCCTTCTTCTCATCACCACAAAGAGGGAAACTCATACCGAATCTTCCACCTTTTCCTTCTTCCACTGTTGTCTCAAAACTCTCTTTCTTCTTTGATTTTGGTTTGCTTCCATTTTTGTAAGTTTTACTTTCCCTTCTTTGTTTGTTTGTTTTTTTTGTTGAGTTTTTGTAGTGGGTGTTTGTGAATCCTAGTGATGCCCATTTCCTATTTTTTGAGAAAAGAATCGAGCTTTGTGAAAATGAGTATTTTTTATAATATGGATGTTGCTCCTTTTCGATGGATTTGTGGTGATTTTCAATCTGATGTTTTTATCTGTCCCTAACTGTGGTGCTTGATTTCCACGTGAGCACTTCAGCTGCTGGTAGCGTAGAAGTTAGATCTGTGTTGGATTTGTATTTCGGGGGTTCTTACGCATGCTTCAGCATGTCCAATGTGTTTGATTATGTTGAAAAAAGTGGTTGCAATTTGTAGTGTTTGTGAAGAGATTTAGTTTTTCTCTTGGGGTTGAATTTTGTGCATTACATGTTCTGTATCGTTTTGTTTCTCCGTAGATGTTGAGGAGTGGAACCTTTTTCTAGGAATTCATTGATGAATAATGTAGCCATTTGTTTGTTTGATTTACATTTTGACTAACTAAATCAAGAAAATGTTTTGTTTTGTTTTACGCTTTTCTATCACTTGGGACTCATAACAAGCATTGGAGCTGTAATTCCCTTATGGTTCTTTTCTCTTGTGAACTGATAGCGCATAGATTTGGAAATTGAAACTACAAACTCCTGCTAAATCCCCCCAAACTACATATCATTAACCTAGTCCTTGTAGTTTAATTTTCTCATAGATCTGTACAATTTCTGTCATGTCTAGAGTATGCTTTTATTTTGCAATGATCAGATTTTGTAAAATGATATTTTGATTAATTTCTATTTGTGGTTCTAATTGATGTATTGTAATTTGTCTTTGTTTTCGTTGTAGAAGTTGCTTAACAACATGGCTTCATATACTCCAAAGAATATCCTCATTACTGGTGCGGCTGGATTTATTGCGTCTCATGTTGCGAATCGGCTTGTTCGGAGCTATCCTGACTACAAAATTGTTGTGCTTGACAAACTCGATTATTGTTCTAATCTAAAGAACCTCCTTCCTTCTAAATCCTCTCCCAACTTCAAGTTTGTGAAGGGGGATATTGGTAGTGCTGATCTTGTGAACTACCTTCTCATAACCGAGTCCATTGACACTATCATGCACTTTGCTGCTCAAACCCACGTTGATAACTCGTTTGGTAATAGCTTTGAGTTCACCAAGAACAACATATATGGAACTCATGTCCTACTTGAAGCCTGCAAAGTAACTGGCCAGATCAGAAGGTTCATCCATGTGAGCACTGATGAGGTCTATGGAGAGACGGATGAGGATGCTGTGGTTGGAAACCACGAGGCTTCTCAACTTCTTCCAACAAACCCATACTCTGCAACAAAAGCGGGGGCAGAAATGCTTGTGATGGCATATGGTAGGTCATATGGGTTACCTGTTATCACGACTCGTGGAAACAATGTTTATGGGCCCAATCAATTTCCGGAGAAGTTAATCCCCAAGTTCATCCTCTTGGCTATGCAGGGAAAGAATCTTCCAATTCATGGGGATGGTTCTAATGTAAGGAGTTATTTATATTGTGAAGATGTTGCGGAGGCTTTTGAAGTCATCCTTCACAAGGGAGAGGTTGGCCATGTTTACAATATTGGGACAAAGAAGGAAAGGAGAGTTATTGATGTAGCCAAAGATATATGCAAACTTTTCTCATTGGACACAGAAACTATGATAAAATTTGTAGAGAACAGACCATTTAATGACCAGAGATACTTTCTGGATGACCAAAAGCTGAAGAACTTGGGTTGGTCTGAGAGGACCACTTGGGAAGAGGGCTTGAGAAAAACCATGGATTGGTATATCAATAATCCTGATTGGTGGGGTGATGTCACTGGGGCATTGCTTCCTCATCCAAGGATGCTGATGATGCCTGGTGGGATGGAAAGGCATTACGAAGGATCTGAAGAGGTAAAACCTGCATCCTTTGGCTCCACTAATACCAAGATGGTGGTTCCATCATCCAAGAACAGTGGCTCTCAGCAGAAACATCCATTTAAGTTCTTGATCTTTGGTAGAACAGGTTGGATTGGAGGTTTGCTGGGAAAATTGTGTGAAAAGCAAGGAATTCCATATGAATATGGAAAGGGACGCTTAGAGGATCGCTCCTCACTTTTGGCTGATATTCAGAATGTGAAGCCAACCCATGTTTTTAATGCTGCAGGAGTGACTGGCAGACCCAATGTTGATTGGTGTGAATCTCATAAAACAGAAACCATTCGCACCAACGTCGCAGGTACCTTAACATTGGCTGATGTTTGCAGAGAGCATGGTATCTTGATGATAAATTATGCTACTGGGTGCATATTTGAGTATGATGCAACACATCCTGAAGGCTCTGGCATTGGTTTTAAGGAGGAAGACAAGCCCAATTTCATTGGCTCTTTCTATTCAAAAACTAAAGCTATGGTAAGTGCTTTTTACATGGTATGACTTTATTTATTTTCACTATGAATTATCTTAGATAATAACAACCTTTATGTGAACATTGATCAGGTTGAGGAGCTATTGAGAGAATATGACAATGTATGCACCCTCAGGGTTCGCATGCCAATTTCATCTGACCTGAGCAACCCACGCAACTTCATTACAAAGATTTCTCGTTATAACAAAGTAGTTAACATTCCAAACAGCATGACTATTTTGGATGAACTTTTGCCTATTTCAATTGAGATGGCTAAGAGGAACTTGAAGGGAATCTGGAACTTCACAAATCCTGGAGTTGTGAGCCACAATGAGATCCTTGAGATGTATAGGGATTACATTGACCCCAACTTTAAGTGGGCTAACTTCACACTTGAAGAGCAAGCCAAGGTGATTGTTGCTCCCCGAAGCAATAATGAGATGGATGCATCCAAGTTGAAGAAGGAATTCCCAGAATTGCTTTCCATCAAGGAATCACTAATCAAATATGTTTTTGTGCCAAACAAGAAATAAACAGCTCTTTTGTTGATCAGACATGGCAGCAGTAATGTGCTCAGGCTACTTAGATCACTCATTATTCCATTGTTAAATTCCATTCAGTTAATGTGTCTAGAAGGTGGATAGCATTTCAATTGGGTTAAGAATGTTTCCTAAGTTTTCAGTTCCACAATTTTATTCAAGTTCTCAAGTGTCTGTCCTCTTGTACTGGCAGATTTAGATAGATGCCTTTTGTGGTTATTTACAAGCTTGGGATGGGCGACTTTTGTATCAAGTAACGCTTGTATTCTTTTATTGCTCATCTAGAATGAAATATTAAAATAAGAGAAGTTATTATAATTTTTGTCATTATCCAGATGTACTTAGATATTTATATGCCACATTGAAATTTTGGAATAAGAGCTGTTAATTATATTTTAAACAAAGAAAATGGTAATGTTAATCTCATGGATCTTATTTAATCTAATTCATTCTACAATTTCTAATTCCTTGGGTTTGCCCCATAAATTGGGGTATGATAGTAACATGATTAAATGGCATATTCCTCAAGCAGTGCCGTCTTAAAAATAATAAGAGGTTGTTTGTTTTCTATTTTTAAAAGTTGTTTCTTTTTAAATAAAAAATAATTTTTTTTTGTTCATATAAGTTTTATTTTTTTAAATTATTTTAAAAATATTCTTTAAAAATTAAAAAATAAAATAAAACAAATAAGCCCTTAGTTATTATAGATGAGTTAATTATTATAAACGAGTAAATATTAAGCTACTAATATCTCGCAAGAAAATTTTCAACAACACAGTTTCTAAAATAAATCTTTGAAGAAAAATATTAATTAATCTTTCAGATTAAATTGAAGTTAATAAAATTTTATAAAAAATATTTATCAAACTTTTATACCTTTAATATAATAAACGTGCTATTTTTATATATTTAAATTCAATTTTAAGAGGTGAGTTTAATAAATTTTTTAATTAAGTTTATTATTGATTAAATATTATTAGAATTTGTGAAATTATGAGTAAAATTGAAAGTAAGTTTTACACTATTTTATAAGTTTTATAAATTTTACTTAATAATAATAAAAATTATAAGATATGTAATAAAGTTTGTGTATTGTTATTAAAAAAAATTATTGTATATTATTATAAATATGATATAATTTATTTAATTTTAAAGTTACTATCAAATTTTTAATAAAATTAACTTTAAGAATTCGTTTGAATGTATGAATTATTTATAATTTTAAAATATTTATAAAGAATTATTGTATTGTTTGAAATTATGATAGTCTTGACTAATCAATACTTAACATATAAATAATTTTGACATGTGTCAAACATTATTTAGTTGGAACTAACATAATCTCAAACCATATAAATTATTCAAATGAATTACTTATTAATAATATATATTTTAATTAATTTTTTTTATTATTATCAAATGAATTACTTTTATTTAATATAAATTATTCAAACGTAAACAATGATTTAAACATAGCTTAAAAATAGTCTAAAATTAAACATTAAAAAATATTAGACAGTAAAATCTTAAAAGTGCACATTGACAATTTGATTTATTTTTTATTTGCATCAAAATCTAAAATTTTATAAAAGAAAAAGAGAGAAATTTAGATGATTCATACTTTTTTCATCACCCGTAAAAACATCACTAGCTCAAAGCAGATTTGATTCTTCTAAGTCTAGAAAATTAAAAATTTCAGCAAATATTGCCTCAGCACTTGGTTTAATAGGATCACATGAACAAGCTTTACTCATACTGATAGACAAAAAAATTACATTTCTACAAAAAAAAAAAAAACAATACTCAAATGTATGAAAAGCTGTAACTAATACATAACACATCATATACAAAAAATAAAAAGATGACAACAAAGAAAAATAACAATAAAAAAAACTTATGTAACCAAAAACAATATATAGTAAAAAAATATACCAATAACTATGAATTTGTGATAAATAATAATAAAAAATAAATTATGTCAAAATGATATTTGAGACGATAAAATTATATAATAACTATTGATTGATGTAATATAAAAATATTTAAAAATTATAAAACTGAAAAACTGTATTATTATGTCATCTCACTTGTATATAAAAAACTGCAAAACTGCACTATGCAAAAGACATTCAAAAGTTCTTTTTTTTTTTCTCAACATTTTTCTCTACACATTTTTCTCCACATAAAAGTTAATTTATGTTCAACACTAATACACATGTATATGTGTTATTACATGAATAGTGCAATACCGTGCATGTGACTATAAAAAAAAAATGTCATCTCATAATTGTTGCCACATATAAATAAAAGGCTAAATAGAGATGAAGAAGCTAAAAGTTAATTAAAAATAAAGAGATGAGAAAGAAAGAACTGAGACTGAAATGAAAAGTGGTCAATTTGGAATTGAAAAAGCGATAAAAATTCTAAGAAGTGTAATTGATAAGTTTTAAAGTATAAATTAAGAATTGAAAAATGTTAGAACTAATATTTTTTTATTTCATGAAATTGTGGTATTAAATTATGATTCTAATTTTAAAAGAGTAACTAAACATAAAATTTAGAGTTAATGAGCCTAATTTTATGCTCCAAACAAGTATTAAAAGTAATTGCTTAAATGTAAGAAACTTTATCTTTACTAATTACATCTGCAGAGTGGACTAAATCACATACAATCAGTAAGTAATTGTTACTTATTTGAAGTGAAGTGTTTGTATTTGAAGTTTGAACTATTAACAGATTTAATATTGAAGCAAGTGGAGTGTGTTGCACGAGGGGACATAAAGCACTCATGGTTTCAATTTCTGCTTACCACCTCCACCGACGGCACGCTAATGATGGTTGCTGATGCAATGCTCCTTTACTAAGGTGGTGGTGGGGTTCAACAGCAATCATGATTCCAATTTGTTTTGAAACCTCTGTTAATTACTGTCTCATAATATTGTTAAAAATTTAATAAATACTAATTTTAAAATATATTAAAACGTAGTGAATGTAAAATGACCAAATTAATTGATACTGTTACTGTGTTATTCCAAAAGTTATATTATTTTTATAAAACTATTAGAATTCATTTTTACTCTTTTGTAAAAAAAAATTTAAATTGTTAAATAAATTTAGAAACTACTAAATTCTTGACAAGAGAAGTAGTAAAATAATAATAAGAGTTAATAACAGTTACATCTCTCTCAACTTTATACTCATTCTTTTTTATAAAAACTAAAACTAAAACTAAACTTCAATAAATATATAAAAACTAGAATTATAGTTAACCTTAAAATATATTCAAAATCGTATCAATAAATGTCAATTTGTATTTTTAATAAAAAATTATTTAATTTTTACTAATATTCTGAGATATTGATTAACATCTTTTTTGTTTTTAAAGTAAACATACATAAAATAAACAATTTTACTAGCCTTTGCTTCCAGAGTTTAGTTTAAATATTTAAAGGTAATATTTTTTTATTAAAAATAATATTTAAATGTTAAGAATTTTAAAAATATAATAAGTATTTGTCAATAAAGATTCCTATTTTGAATGCATAAACTCAATTTTAAATATTAAATTTAACAAAATTATAAAATAAGATATAGTAAATTAAAATGAAATTATATTATGGTTATTATTTAAAATAAAATAAATATTGATGGAATATATTTTTATTTAATAATTTGTTTTCTTCTCTTTAATTTAAGTGTATGAGATGGAATTAGTGTATTTTTTTTTAATTTTATTGTATAAATATTAAAAAAATAGAATAATGTTTTTTAGATTTTGTCATAGGAAAACGGAAAGCAACGTGTTTTTTTTTTTATTTTAAATTTTTGTTAACTTTAGATTTGAATTTAAGTATCTAAAATTTTTTATTTTTATTAAAAAATTTCATTATAAATATGTTTCTTAAAAATAACTTTAACTTTATTTTATTATCATTAATTTCTTAAACTTAACTAAAAATTGAAGTTAGTATGTTTCTTTATTTTAAATTTTATATTCAGACTAATTTATGTTTTTTTTAAAATAAATTCCTAGAACTTAAACCAAACAAGCGTCGATAATGAAGTAATAACTTGGTAACATTATGTTTCGTTTTACTTTTATTTTATTAGAATTTATTTAATTCACTTGTCTATGAAGTATTTAAATATAAGCTAAACGCTGATAAATTTTTTTTAATACTAATTACTTTGTTTAATGCTAAGTAGGAGATTACATAAACATGAAATAGTACAAAATTAATAAAAAATATTAATTCAAAAACATGTAAAAAATATTAATAGGATTTCAGCTGTAGATGCTCCAAACATGCCTGCGAGTACCACGCTACGCGGGAAATTATTTGTTTATTTATGGGCTACGCTTGTTATTTAGTATTTTGATAATTTACCATTTATTGTGATACACTTGATGGGAAACAAGGCTTTCTTTACTCATTTGATAATTTGTTATTTTGTTTATGGGTCTTAATGACAACTGCTCTTAAAGTATTGATTCCAATATTAAAATAATTTTTTATTAAAGTTATATTTAAAATAAAAATATTTTATATTTTAAATAATTTTTTCAATTCTTTACAAAGTACTATTAAAACAATGATTGTCTTTGATTATTTTATCGTTTAAATATATAAGCATGCAACTTTTATCTATTTTATTAATTTTTTTCTCAAATATTTGTCATGTATCAAAGTAGTATATATTTTTTTAAAATATGACTTTTTTACTATAAAAAGTATCAAAATATGAGTTTTTAACTATTATTACATAAATATGAGATTTTAAAAAATAGTTGATGGCGATTTTTGAGAAATGAAAAATTTGTTAAAATAAAAAAAATATCACTCATGACTTTTAGAGTAAAAAAATTAATTTTATACATTTAAAATTCGTCATTGATGATTTTTAGAGAAATTTTTTTTATATATTCAAAAATTGCTATTGGCGAGTTTATAAAATATAAATAATTAATTCAGCTACCAAAAATTGTCATTGGCAAATTTTAAAACATTTCTTCTATAAATACCAACTTGCATTTGTAGCAAATTGCATCTTAAAGATAACCTTTCATTCCATATTTTTGAATTCTCGTTTCTAATACTTTATTGAAAAAAAAATAATGAATACAAATATAGTAGTATACTTTAATAGTAAGATTGTTCTAAACATGAATGAAAGTGTGAAATTTACGTCTAAGAAACCAACTTGCATCTATATTCTTCATAATATATCGTTTGAAGCATTAAAATATTCACTTTGTCAATATATTGTAGTGGAGACTCCAAAAATAATGGAGAGTATAATCTATTTGTGTCCAATCTTTATTTTTAGAAGTTTCATGCAATACCAAGTGATAACAATAAACAACAATGATGATATTCAACAAATGTTTTGGATCTATTACGAGCGTTATGACCCA